CAAGTAGATTGCCAACACATTTTTATCACAGGATGGTCAGAAGGTGCTTTTACTAGCACATGCTTTATATTTGGTTTTCTGTTTGTTTGAGGAAGGTAGATTTCAGTTCCTGTCCCCTCCAAGTTATATTTTATTGTATCATCACTTTTTTGTGAGATGGGTGGCCATATAAATTTGATGAATAAATAGAATCATGAAATGCCAGTGAACATGCTGCTCTTTCAATAAAATAATTAAAATGCTTATTTTCTCTTTGTGTTAGTTTCTCTTACATGTACAAAGTATACAACAGCAGTAAAGCAGATATTCCCTTAATAATTATATAAGAATCTATAGGTAGGTTGGGAGAGATTGACACGATAGTGGAGGAGTAAATGTGACATAATAGAGCAAAATATACTTTTGACCCATTAGAAATTAAACATTTCTGAGAATTACAACGAATGATTAAAAAGCAAAATTATACATAGAAGGAAAATCTATAAAGTTAGCTTTATAATTTCTATTGGAGTGATTTACAAATTTAAAAACACAATTTATTAAAATGCAATACAGGTAGTCCTCAACTTACAACTGTTTGAAGTTACGACAGTGCTGAAAAAGTGACTTATGACCATTGCAGTATCCCCTCAATCCACATGATCAAAATTCAGGTGCTTGGCAATTGGCATGTATTTACAATGGTTGCAGTGTCCTAGAACACATGGGGCTTCCAACAAGCAAAGTCAATGGGAGAAGCTGGATTCACTTAACAAATGTGTGATTCACTTAATGACCGTGGTGATTTGCTTAACGACCATGGCAAAAAAAATCCATAACATTGGGCATGACTCACTTAATGACTGCATCGCTTAGCAACAGAAGTTCTGGTCCCAATTGTGGTCGTAAGTTGAAGACTACCTGTACATAGTAGATAATTTATTATAGATAACTCGGTGTCATAATTGAAATGTCATTGTTGAAATCGCAGTAAGATGGTTAGAGATAAACTGCAAATACAGACTACTGTGGAAGTCCAAGAGATTTAGTTAATCTGACCTAGATGTTATTTTAATAATTGAGAACATGGTATATGTGAAAACACTTCTCCATTTCAAAATGAAATGCAAGAACATCCATAGTATAATTCAGTGGTCCTTGCAGTGATTGGTGCAGCAATAATTTCTTAAGAGGAAAGGATTTGCTACATATACTTTTTCAGCTTTTAAAGCTGTTTAGATAATTGGCAGTTGGAGCATAAGTAATATTGAAAGTTGGAGGTGAATGCTGAATCTGATTTTTGCCATATCACAAAGGGGATTATCTGCAATTTCAGGTGAAATATTTCTTCTGTTTAATGTCAATGAGCATAGTGTGTAAAATGTTAATTTCATAGTTCTCAATGGGTTATTTTCTCTTTTATGAACTAGAAACAGGAATGAAATAAAAGTAATAATTGAACAAGCTCTTTTTGTTGTTGTTGTACCTGATTGCCAGTATAAAGTGCACTATAAAATAATACACAAAAGTTTCTTGTTGATTGTGTTGTTGATCATGTTGAAATTCTGATGGTCATGTTTTATTCTCTTTTGCATTTGTATGTGAGAGGGAGATTAACTGCTGCAGGTTTTTCAAAATCTTACTGTGTCAGTGTTATTACGGCATTGTTTTTCTATAGGTTTTGTTGCTCAGTTTCTCACACTGTTAAAGTTTACTTCCAGTATTTCAGTATTTTGCCCATTGGATTTTAAATAGCACACACCAATGATATTACTCAGTAGAATTGGAATTCGACAGTAACATGGATGAATTTACAGAGCATTCTGAAGAGGTTGGCTGCAGAATATTCCTCCTGCTTACTGGGAAGTACCCAGTAATAACATAGGCTATTAACTAATGAGGTAGCAAAGGAATTGTTTTTGAAAAATACTATATTTCTGCTATAGTAAGAATAGAATGGTTACTAAATCCTATACACCTTTCCTTTGTGAGTGATTGTTGTGAAATGAGTGTCAAGAATGCAATTCTGCAGAAAGGAAAATAAATTTGGAGTTGTGTTGGAGAATTCTTGCTGCCTAACTTGCATTATCAAAATAAAATGAAAATACACTCCCCATGCCCAACCCTCCTCCTTATATCCAAGGAATCAGGGAGGCATCTGCCTGAGCCACTTCCGAATATTATCTTGTATCCAAAGGCTTAAAAAATGTTTCAGCCCTCTTTGTCTAGGTAACAGTTCTTGCATATTTCGATCAAGATCTGTTTATTCTTCAGTACAGAATATTTCAAGGAATAAGCACCTCAAAGTATAGTATTATTTATTTGTATATCCTATGTTGAAAAGTCAGTTTGGAGCACAGTTATATTATTGATACCACTGAACTTTGTTTTTAAAAATTAAATTTTGTTTTTGCTATTTTAGGATAAATATGAATCTTTGATTATAATGTCCAATGAGTGATCAATTGATATTCTCCTTTCAGGGAGCTGAGTTACAAATTCATGTTAATCATTTGCTTTGAAGAAGTTACCCTTAGAAAGCAAGTACTTACAGATTTTGGAAATCTTCTTTTACAGACACCTGGCTTAAGAGCAAAACCAGAAAGACTGGAATGGTTTGCAAACAGATGTATTGCAAATAATGAGGCATGTATACTATTAATTTTGGTTTATTTATATTATTGAATTAGTAGAAGAATTCTACATCACTGTTAAGTCATTCATATTCAAGGACAAATAGATTATGGGTGATGTGGGTCTTCCGGGCTGTGTAGCCGTGTTCTGGAAGTTTTGGTTCCTAACATTTCACCAGCATTTGTGACCAACATCTTCAGGGGGCAGGAGCACAGACAGGAGTGGTTCTCTCTGTGCCCAGGATGATTTCGCCAGATGCTGGCAAAACGTTAGGAACCAAAACTTCCAAAACACGGCCACACAGCCTGGAAGACTCACATCAGCCATTGTATTCTGGCCGTGAAAGCCTTCGACAATACAAATAGATTACTTTCTGCAGTGATCACTGAATACTGTCTAATCCAGCTTCCAGATGGCAGTATTGTAATTGCTCTGTAATTAGTTATTCTTGATTTCCTATCCTTTAGATTATTTTCAAGGCACTATTATTTTTCTTATCAGTAGTGAGCACTATTCCCCTATTTCACTTACCCTTTACATGAATTGTGACTATTTCTGGCCAAAAAATAGCTATTACAGAATAATGCAATTGGAGAGGGCAGTTTAGACCATCACGCCCAATTTCCTGCTGAGTGCAAGAATCCCATAGAAGGCCGTCTAGGCTCTTCTTGAACACATCCAGAGAAATGGAGTTCCCCTGTGGAATTGCTGTTACTGTTAGAAAGCTTATTCTGACAGCATCTCCCTTCCTGTAACTTAAACCAAGTTTTTTTTGTGTTTGTTATTTCTTGTATTTGAAAACTGCTATATTCCACTCCGCCTCATCTTTTTTCAATTTCAAACATGCCCATCTCCTCCAGCCCTTTATTTATAGGACTTAAATTTCTCATTCCCTAATCATCCATGTTGCCATTCTCTGAAGCTGTTCCAGTTTCTCTGCATCTTACTTAAAGGGTGGTGCCTGGAACTGGATGTAGCCCTAGAAATTATGAGCAAGGCAAGAATAAAATGGAATATTTATTTTTCATAATTTTTATAATATGCCTCTAATAGATACAGAGTAAAATTTAATCTTTTTTGCAGCCACATCATGTTGTTGGTTGATACTCAACTTGTGATCAACTAATGTTCCAATAAATTTTTCACAAGTACCATTACCAAGCCATCCATTCTGTCCATTTAATTTTTCTTAAATTATGAATTTTCCCCTTTTCTGTCATTGTTACTTTCAAGCCCAGTTTCTAACTTGTCAAGATCTTTTTAAAATGGTTTCTAACTTGTCAAGATCTTTTTAAAATGTGATGTAGGCATAACCCATCCATTCTGTCCATTTAATTTTTCTTAAATTATGAATTTTCCCCTTTTCTGTCATTGTTACTTTCAAGCCCAGTTTCTAACTTGTCAAGATCTTTTTAAAATTTATGTTTCCTGCAGTATTTGCTATCCCACTTGATTTTGCATCTGCAGATTTGATTAACATTCTGTCAATAAAAATATTGAAGAGTAGAAGACCCAGGACAGATCCTTGCAGCACCCCACCAAAACCTTGCTTCCATTATCTTGATGTGTGTTCTTTGAGT